CTTCCTGCTCCTCTGATGCTGCTTGGCCTGCTGTGTTCATCCAGCTCCACACCTTGTTATCTCAGATTCTCCAGCATCTGCAGTTCCTACTATCTCTGAACCAATTTTCTACTTACCACCTGATCATTTGCTGCAGTTGCAGTTTCTACTGTTTCATCTACCAGGACATCCAGAACATGCTGTATCCCAAAATTCTGCTGTCTCCCTGTATTCCATTGATATACTGTTTTCCTATTCTTCATCAAAAAGGGACGAGTTTGTATTTTCATGTATTGTAATCCACATCCCAAATTTTTAGCCCACTCACCAAAGACATCAAAATCCTGTTGCAAACTCCTTATGCCCTCTTCAAAATTCCTAGTTACCTTTATGTCATCAGTTGAACTCAGAAACTGACATTCTCTTCCTTTATCCATGTCATTAAAATAGTTAGTAAATCATTGAGGCCATAATACTGATCCCTGTCCCACTAGCAAAAGCTTGCCAAACTGTAAGTGAGCCATTTATCCAAGGTCTCTATTAGAAAACACATCCATTTTCCATGCTAACATGTTACCCCCACTTCATGAGTTCTTATTGCGTATAATAATATTTGATGTGACCCACTTTGTTGATTGCCATTCAGAAATACAATTTCACTACAACTACATGTTACCCTTCATCCACTTTGTTCCTTAAAAATTCTGTTAAATTAATCAAACATGATTTCACTCTCGCCAAATGAGGATGATTCTACTTGATTACATTATGATGTCTACAAGTCCTGCTATCACCTCTTTAAAAATAAATTCTCACATTGTTCTTATGAGTTATGTTGCATTAACTTGCCTATTGTTCCCAATTTACGATTTCCCTCCTGTCTTGAAGAAAGGTGTAACATCAACCATTTTCTAATCTGCTGTGACTTTTTCAAAATGTGAGGAATGTTTGAAGATCACAGCTAATGCATCTCCTATTTCCGCAGCCACTTCTTTTACCACTCGAGGATAAAAACCATAGGACTTGTGAACCGTTAGTTCCATTTGTTTTTCCAGATCCTTTCCCCAGTGATAGTGTTTTAACTCCCTTCTTAGGTTAAGGTTGTACAGGACATTGTTGAGGCCCCTTCTGGAATACTGTGTCCAGTTCTGGTTGCCCAGTTATAGGAAGGATATTACCAAGCTGGAGAGGGTTCAGAAGAGAATTACCAGGATGTTGCCGAGTATGGAAGGTTTCAGTTGTGAAGAAAAGCTGGATAGGCTTTTGAGGTTGCGAGGTGACCTTATAGAAGTTTATAAAATAATGAGAGCTATAGACATGGTAATGGTAGTTGGCTTTTCTCTAGGATGGGGGATTTGAAGACTAGCGGGAACATTTTTAAGGTGAGAAGAGAGAGATTTAAAAAAAGACATGAGGGACAAATGTTTTTACACAGAGGGCAGTTTGTGTGCAGAATCAATTTCCTGAGGAAGTAGTTGATGTTGGTACATTTACAACATTTAAGAGACATTTGGATAATTAGATGAATAAGAAAGGGTTGGAGGGATATAGACCAGGAGCAGGCAGGTGGGACTTATAGTCTGAAATTATATTTGGCATGGATTGGTTGGACTGAAGGGCCTGTTTCCATGCTGCATTACTCTATGCCTCTATGTCTATGCATAGTTTAGTTTAGTTACAACAACACAATATTTATTGATTAATCTACTGTATTATTCTGCTCAACTGTAACCAGTGTAGATTTTAATATTTTAATCTCATGTAACTCTGTTTAGCCTCAATTTGACAAAGAAATGCACCTTTGGATTCAAACATAATGAAGACAGTACACAATTGTCTTAGAGTAACAGCTACATACTGACAAGACCCTGTTTAGCTTTTTTGATTTCATGATTGTGAGAAAATTCAGATTTCCAATGTTGAATAAAGTATAGTTGGCATCCTACCAGCTTGTTAGATCTTATCAAGGAATCATGGTCGTAGCTGTGCTTCTGTACTTGTGATAATTCAATTTGTTCTTGATGTGACACAATAATACAGACCTAAACTTAATCTTTTGACTAAGTGTAATCTTGGTATTATGTTAACCTGTACCTTTTAAATTGTAGACTTTCAACACTCAAGCCTATATATTTAAGAATATCTCACTACTTCACACTTTTTACATGCTCTGTCTGACAATTTGTATAGATTGGTACTTTGTGATCTCCTGCATTAGTTTTATATTACTTTGATGTTATAAGTAGCTTCTTTTACATGATATCTTCAGTCCATTCTTTTAATAAATAAGAGTCATAAAAACTCTTTCAAGTCATTAAACAGCACAACAAAACCTCATTTAACAAATAGCTCTAAGAAGAGCAAACAGTCAATTAGAAGAAAGTGTCTGATCAAATGTGACCAACCAACTGAGAATTGAGACACTAATGTAAGAATATCAGTCATTGGGTCCTGCCTGCACATATTGGCCTTTTCTTAAATAAAGTGGTAAATGACACATTAAAGAACCATTCATGAGATGATATCAATAAATGTGCATCACCTTTGAGTGACAATTAAAGATTGATCATATGACCCTTAAACCAATCAGCATTAAGCCTTGTCTCATCAAGACCAATCAGATTGTAATGATGCAATTGATCATGCTTTGGGCTGTGGCTTGGAATGAGTTAATATGCAATATACAATGGTGACTAAAGTGCTCATTAAGATTTAAAATGAAATTATGTCCAAATGGAGACAGAAAACCCTTGAGATGTTGCTGAGAGACCGAGGGCTGAGTGTCTATCCATGCTCTACATTTAACTGGGAAGCAAGAGCCATTGTACACCCATAAAGTCACTGTTGTCTTTTAGTAGGTATTATTTATAACTTAAGTTCAGTTTTAAGAGGTCCTGCACCAGACTGTCTCCTTGCAAGTTAAAGTGTCAAAGGAAAAACAATGCTACTGGCAATTGAGTTTGAAATATAACCCAGAACTCACACTTCCATTTCAACTTTTCATTCTGAAGAATTCTGTGCATGATTTGTTGTGCCTTTATTAGAATGAAGACAAGCACAAAATACTCTTTAATTGCTCCTGCCATTTCATTGCTTCCCATTATTAATTTGCCATTCTCACCCTCTAAGGAACCAACTTTCATTTCAGTCATAGATAACAAGGTGCAGAGCTGTATGAACACAGCAGGCCAAGCAGCATCAGAGGAGCAGGAAAGCTGATGTTTTGGGCCTAGACCCTTCTTCATTTCAGTCACATGATTTCTTTTATTAATATTTGTAGAAACCCATACTATCAGCTTTCAAATTTCTCTCTAACTTTCTCTCACACTCTAATTACTCCCTCTTCTTCAAATTTGAAAAATCTGTAAAGTCTTCTGACCTATCATTCAGTATTGTAGGTATCCAATTTTAATTTGATATTAATCTTAATTTCCTTAGTTAAACATGGATGGTGCATCCTTCTTATGGACTCTTTCACATTACAATGTGTTTCATGGAGATTTATTGAATTTCCTTAAATATCTACCACAGGTTCTGTACTATGCTACCATTTAACCTGTTTCCCAGTTTTGCATTAGCCGCTCTGTCTTTTACCTTATTATTGTGCTCATTTAAGTTGAAAACACTATTCATATACCTGCACTTCTCATTTAATCTATAAATGACTTCTCATTTAAATATCGAAACAATTAATGCTGCTGGAGCTTTTTCATTGCAAAGTACATAATAACATTAACACTATCTCAATGCACAATTGTCACATTGCTGTGATGCAGAAACTGGGGGAAAAAAAACTGATCACAAATTCTGTAGCTTCAAAATTGAGCTATGCTAATGCCAATAAATTGCTTTGTTTATTGCTACATGGGTGGTGACAACACTTACTGTAAAACGGATAACCAAACCACTTAACTAGCAAAGAAATTCCAGGCATAACAGGCTTACAATACAATTTCAAATCTTGTGACCATTGTAAACCTCTCTAAACAAATCTTCAAATCAAAGTGAGTACCAAAACTTCTTTCTTACATTTTCCCATGGACTGTGTTTGAATGTCCAAATATCTTTTCATCCTACTGCTGCCCGTTTTGCAGGAATATCCTGTAAAGAGATTACATTGTTGATTAATAATGAAAGTTCTTGCACTTCTAGAAGCTGACAGGATATCATAGCTCCAGTGACCTTATGTAAATTAAATATTTACTGATTATTGATTATCTACTGGCATCCTTCTTGTTGGTTACAGTGCAAACTTAGTACAGAAGTAGGGTTAGGGTTAGGGTGAATCTAGGGTGATGGAATACAAATGAAAATGTAAATAAAAATGCAGCACTCTTGCTGAAATCTCGATATATAATGTCATAAGTGCTATATCAGGTTCAGAGCAAAACTCAGTTTTAAATAGCTTGTTTGCTGAAATTATACTGAGAAGAAATATGGCTATCAGAGATTTAAACCACTCAATTCATTCAAACATTGTGGATACATAACATTCCGATCTTTTTTTCATTCAGCACTGTATCTAGCATTAAGAAAAATATGCAACCATTTTGGCTATTTTACATTTTTAGCAATACTGAACAAATAGGTCATGTAGAATTAGCCCCACAATCTCCACCACTTTGTGTTTTCCCTTCTCAGGTCTTCATTGGAAAGTGCAATCAACTGTGGTTTTAATGGATGGCAAATACAATATTGTATATTTCTTACTTTTGACCAAAATTGAAAGTTCTCCAAGGATCTTATTGGGTTCAGGTAAGGCAGAGATTTTAATCCAGGAATGTACAATTTCAACCCAACTTTAAAATGACATGAGCCTGTACGGGGAGGTCTTGTGGCACAGTGGGTAGCATGCCACTCTTTAAGCCCAGAACTCCAGAAGCCATCAATGCCAAATTTGCTGATAATATAAAGATATATAGGAAAGTAAGTTGTAAAAAGGACATTAGGAGGCTGCAAATATATATATAGATTAGTTAAGTGAGAGGAAAAACATTTCAGAAATGTGAAATTGTCCATTTTGGAAGAACTTTTTTTTGAATTACCTAAATAATGAGAGATTTCAGACCTCTGAGATGGAGAGGGATCTGTGTGTCCTAGCGAATGAATCATAAAATGTGACTATGCACAAACAGAAAATAATTAGGAAATCAAATAAAATGGTATTGCTTCTTGTGAGGGAAATTGAACACAAAAGTAAGGAGGTTTTCCTTCAGTTATGCAGGCCATTGGTGAGACCACATCTGGAGTACTACATACTGGAGTACTATGTTCAAGGGGAAGCGACGGCCTGTAGTATTATCAGTGGACTGTTAATCTACAGATCCAGGTAATGTTCAGGGGTCCTGCGTTTGAATCCTGGCAGATGGTGGAATTTGCATTCAATTTTTTAAAAAAAGTCTAGAATTAAGAATCTAATGATGACCGTGAATCCATTGTCAATTGGCGGAAAAACTCATCTGGTTCACTAATGTCCCTTGGGGAAGGAAACTGCCAATCTTACCTGGTTTGGCCTACATGTGACTCCAGACCCACAGCAATGTGGTTGACTCTGAACTGCCCTCTGGGCAATTAAGGATGGGCAATAAATGTTGGCCGAGCCGATAATGTCCTCATTCCATGAATGAATAAAAAAAGGTCACCTTATTTAAGGGAAAATGTAACATAGTTGCAATAAGTTCAGAGAAGGTTTTCCAGACTAATGCCTGCAATGGGCAAGTTTTCATATGAGGAAATATATTGGAATGGGAAGACTAGGAATGTATTTGCTGAAGCTTAGGAGAGGAATACTGATTAATTGAAGTATTTAAATCCTAAAGCGGCTTTACAGGGTGGATATGGACAGGATGTTTCTGTGTATGGGAGAATCTAGAACTGAGAGTGTCTAGATAAAAATAAAGAGTGCCCCATTCAAATCCAAGATGATGTAAGTTTTTTTCATTTCTCACTGGGGACCATGAGTCTTTGGAGTCCATTTCTGAAAAGGCAATGGAAGCAGAGTCTTTGGAAATTTTTCTGGCAGAGGTAGATAGATGAATGGCAAGGAAGGGGCTGAAAAGATATCAGGAGTAGGCGAGCGTACAGACTTGAGGTTATAATCAGTTCAGCCATAATCTAATTAAGGGACTGATAGCCTAGTCCTGCTCATTTTTCTGATGGTCAAATGTACAATCACGTGATTTCTTCTGACTTCAGGTGAGGACCTGTTCCAGGAAAGTGAGCTATTGAAACTGATGTAAGTGCATGTTTAATCTGCTCATGTGTCCCTAGATTAGAGAATAAAAATCTTACATTTCATCAGAAAATTCTTATAAACTTTAACCTTACATTTCACTGCCTGCTCTCACGACAACTTTCAATATGAAATCTACATTGAGGCTTAGCTAGTCCAATTGATCTATGGTAGTTACTTGCTATTTAAGGGAGAATAAAAGCTGTTTCAAAGACTAAATACTGTGTTAAAGGTAGCAGCCGGGAATCTGATTTTGTCATTTCAGGTGGAACAGCAAAGCCTGTAAGTTTCATAAATATACTCCGTGTGTCCAAAATTGTGCCTGGATCTGTTGAGCACCAATAAATATACTGTTTTGGATAATAACTCAAGTAAGCCAAATATGCACAGCTTAACTGATTACAGATGATTGATTCCAGTAAAGCCAAATTATAGAACTTGATTGTGGTGACTGCTCCTCATTAAGAGCAACACTATGTTTACAAAATGTAGTCGTTTTCACGTCCAAAGGGAAGCATCTAAGTAAATGTGATCTGTAGATGGTAATGCAGTGGTAATGTCACTGGACTTGTCTCTAGATGCTTTAATAGGTGCAAATCACACCCAATGGTAGATCTTGAATCAATAAATTTGCAAAACGCAACTAGTCTCAGTGGCTGTGAAAATTGACTTCAATTGTTGTTTCTTCAAAATATAAAATGTTTGGTTCATTGCTGTCTTTTAGGAAACAAAATGTGGAGGAATTACCATGTCTATGTGTACCTAGGTTACTGACTGCCAAATGCCCTTTGCAATGGCCTAGTAAGCCATGCAGTTCAGAGAAATAGGATGGGCACAAATATTGATCCTTTTAGTGCTAATACATAGCATGATAATGGGTGGTGCAAACATTATTGTGGATGTCTATGAAACTCAGCTTTCATTTTGCTTACTTATGATACCACACACACACACACACCAAAAATCTGGCCCTGTTTCCAAATGTTTAGCTTACCATCTCGATATTCTGCAGTGTCCACACTGGAAATAAAAGTCAGCCCAGCGTCCCTGAAAACATTTTTGCTATCAGCACCACCTCCAAACGAGCAGCCAAGGTCATACGAGTTCATCTCTTCAAAGATCTAATCACAGCCAAAACTCAAATAAGAACAGTAGCTCAACAAAGAAGGATCTTAATTATCACTATGAGCTGCACAAAATTATTCTAACTTAAAACATAGCCCCAGTTTCTGGGATGAATCCAAATGAATTTTGTTTAAAATAGTAATCCTCATGTTTTATCATTGGGTTACTATGTGTTCTGTTAGTTGATCTGAATAGGAGGCTTATAGGGAGCAAGTCTCTATCTCAGTTCCTCTGGCCTGGTGGCCTGTAATTTGGCCTTTTATTAGTCACAAAGTTGTCAGTGTTAACTGACAAGACTGTGTAAAACTCACGCGTAAAAAAATGTCTGGGACACCCACAAGTGTTATGATCAGAAAATGCAAAATAACCCACTGCTCCAAAGGGTGCAGAGTTTCAGTCTATGCAACAAACATAGAATCGTCTATCTGATGTCTTTGTCAAACATTTGAACACCTTAAATGCCCAATTCTAAATGTGTAGTCTGTTTGATAACGCGTAATTGAGTTTTAATTAGTTATAATGAGCTAGGTTTTGCTTCAGGACAGCATTGCTTCACAGCTTTCAAAGACACATCAACTTGGCTAGAGTTAAGCATAAGAATGGTGCACTTACATTGCTCAGTACAATATCGGACTACCAGCTAGTGGAAAGGACATATAGGAACAAATCTGCAAAGATATTACTGAAAGGTTTAAACATCATAGGGAATTCATAATGTGGAATATTAATTAACTCTATAATGACTGGAATAGTGGTATTTCAAGGGGCAGTGAGGGGCAAGCATTCCTAAATTTTCTACAACAGTATATGTTTAGTCCACCAGACAGGAAACACTGCCAGACCTGACCCTTGGGAATGAGATGGCTCAAATAGATCAAGTGGTAGTGGGAGAACATTTAGGAACAGTGATCAATATATTTAAGGTCTAGGCTAACAGCAGAAAATGATCTTGCTCAACTAGATTAAGAATAATCAACAGACAAAGCGTAGACTTCAAGGGGGTAAGAACAGAACTTGCTTTTCCTTATATATATAGACTTTGGTGTGTAGAGGAAAATTTTAAAATTTTGGATGAGACAAAATTTGGGAGAATTGCAAACTGTGAGTTGGACAGCATAAAACAGAAGGATATTAATGCATTCGTGGAGTGGGCAAATAGGTGGTGGATGGAGTTTAACCTGGAGAAATGTGAGGTGATGCACATTGTTGTGAAAACAGTGAGAGATAGCCCGACTGGAAAGGAACATCGATTATTGTTAGCATCAAAATAGAGCCACTACTTGTGGCATACAGCCATTCGTCCTAGCCCAGGATAGAAAGTTCTGTAGAGCCATCCCTGAGGCTGCTTTATAAAGGGCTCAGATGAACTCCAGCTGGATAGGCCATCGTATGAGGAAACTCATACTCAATCAGATCCAGGGGGAGATTAATTAAAGATTCCCCATGGGTCTTGTAGAGATTATCACAGTACAATTTTAAAGGGTGTGCAGGAGCGTGTGTAAATATGTCAATAAAGGTGGCAGATCAGGTAGCAAGATCTGTTAATAAAGCAGAGCGTATTCTTGGTTTCGTAACTAGTGGCATAGAGTACAAGAACAGGGAGGTTATAGTGAACTTGCATAAAACAATGGTTAGGCCCCAGCTGCAGTATTATATACAGTTCTGTACACCAAACTATAGGAAATATGCAAATGCATTGGAGAGAGTGCAGAAGTGTATTACAGGAATGTTCCCAGGGATGAGACACTTCAGTTATTAGGAAAGACAGGAGATGTTGGGGCTGGTTTCTTTCGGGAGGGGAAGGCTAACAGGAGAATTGATAGAAATTTTTGAAACTATGAGGAGTGTGGTCAGAATGGACAGGGAGAAACCGCGCCCACTCATAAACAAATCAAGAACCAGAGAACAAAGTTTTAAAGTATTTTAGGAAAAAGAATCTGAAGTGAGAAAAAATGTTTTTTTTTCACACCAGTGAGTAGTTAATCAATGGAATGTATTTCATGGACATTTGATGAGGGTATGGTTCCATTGAAATGATATTGGATGGTTATTTGAATAGAAAAGTGTGCAGACTTATGGGGGCAAGGGCAGGAAATTGACAAGATGTGAAAAGCTCAGAGCAGACTTGAGGCAGACTTGAGGCTGGGCTGAAGAAGGAGAAATTTTATCATTTAAATGGTTACGTATCATTGGAATATTCCAGAGCAGAGTGTTGTGAATGCTATATCGTTGGGTATATTTGAGACTGAGATAAACACATTTGCAGTATATCAGTGATTGAAGGCATGTGGGGAGTGGATGGGAAAGTGGATCCGAAGTGCGAATCTGATTGAAACCCTTTTGACTTGTAGACCAAGTTCAATAGTCCATTGAGTCTACTCTCTCTCCTGTTCCTTGTATATGTACGTATGAATAACCTCGCTCAGAGAAAAAGAAATGAACATACAAGCTTATTCACTCAGCATCAAATGGAATCAAATCTTGATTTTTAAAATTGTTCAAACGTGTTATGAAGTTAGGCCACAGATCAGTTATGAACTCATTGTATGGGTGAACAGGCTCGAGGGGCTGAATGGTCTACTCCTGTTCTTATGTTGGTCCTTATCATTTGCTTCCCACACTTAAGTATTTCCTGTAATTCCCACGTATAACATCCCAACCTTCATTTCATTTTTAAAATGCTACTCTTTTTCTTGCCAGATGCTTCCTGTAGATAATCCCTAATTCAACGTCATGCTAGAATAGAGGAAGCATAACTCTAGATAGCACTCAGTGTATGCTCTAAATCTTTCTTTAAATTAATAATGAATGCTGGTTCTTTGAAGACTAACTAAAAACTGTTGTTACTGCACGGTTTTAGATATTTTCCAGTCAACTTGTTCAGATATGTTATTACATGCATCTGGAAAAGGTGGGACTTGATCTCAGGCCTCAGTATCCACAGGTGGGGACACTACCGCTGCACCACAAGATCCCTTTTTAGACTATGCTGCATCCAGTGACTGACAGATCAGCAGTGCTGGTGGCACATGGAGGATGTGTATTTGGAAAAGTCTCCGAGCACATACATTTCATTGAGTTTGAAACATACAGCATTTGTGGACTTGAATTCGAGTTAGTTATTCCAGCTCAACACTGTGAGATTACTATCTGTGCCCAACTTGCATTATAAACTCTCTCTGAGAAGGAAGGGAGCCTAGTTTGGACGAAATCTTAATGTGAAACAGCCTGTACCAGTTAGATAAGGTATTCTAAGTTGATAAACTTTGAATCTTTTCAAAGCACACGCAGCAAACCACTTACTTTCTTTTCTGTAAGTTTGTTCTTGTTGTTAAGGATGTAGATCGCAGTGTCAACGATAGCAACGTACACGTTTCCGCTGTCATCAGTCTCAATAACCAGGTTCGTTCTTCCTCCTGGGCTATAATATTCCTTGGTCATATCCTTTATTGTAATCTGCAGAAAGCAAGAAAATGGAACCAAAGTCAATAGTGAATGACTGGCCTCTGAAGTATGTAGTGGCTGACTGTGATCATTGCTAACTGATATCTAACTTCTCAACATTACAGTTTAAATACTGTGTAAGTGTGTCCTTGTACACCCAAAGGGGAAATGCGTAAAAATCAACAGTGTGGACTTTAAAAAACTGCAAAGGTTTGGAGATCTGAAATACACAAAAACAGAGACTGCTGGAGAAACTCAGCAGGTTTCAAAGTTTAAAGCATTGGTTAGCCCACAGATGGATCACTGTGTGCAGTTCTGGTCGCCACACTATTGGAAAGACACGATTATACTGGAGAGGGTGTGAAGGAGGTTCACCAGAATGTTGCTTTGGATGAGAAGTCTCAGTTATGAGAAGAAGCTGGATAGGTGGAGTTTGCTTTTCTTGGAGCAGAGGAGGCTGAAGATTGAGGTGCACAGAATTATGAAGCAGAGTAATCGTGAGAAACTCTCTCCCATGAAAGACATCTAAAACTAGAGGACGCAAGTTTAAGGTGAGGGCCTAACTGATTTAGAGGACATATGAGAAAAAATTATGTCACCCATATAGTGGTAGAAATATGGAAAGTGCTGCCTGAGACGATGGTGGAGGCAGGTATTCTCGCAATGTTTAAGAAGCATCTGGATGAGCACTTAAAATGCTAGGGCATGGTAGGCTATGGACCAAGTGCAGGTAAATGGGATTAATGTAGTTATTGTTTGTTGGATGCCATAGACAGAGTGGGCTGAAGGGCCTGTCTCTATGTTGTATGACTCTACGACACAAGCCATTTTCGATTTACAGTAAGTTGCGGAGTAACTTTTGATCATTGCTTTCTACTTGGAACCAGCTGATTGGGCACCATGGTCAGCATTGACCAGTTTGGGCCGACTGGTCCAAGTTTCCATGCTTTGTTACTCTATGACTCATTTCTCCCAGGCAGACTGCTCCTATATCTCAGGTTAAAGCTCAGTGTCTATAATGTTCTGAAATTACAACAAGTAAAACCACACCTTGCCTTCACAGACATCCTTAACATCGATCCAGGCGGAATTTGCCACCATCTCTGTTTTGCCCCCGATATTGATGTAGTAGTAGATGACCAGCCGGAACGCAGGAACCATGTCAATACTCAGTGGGAGGGTAAGTTTTGTGTATTCCGTTTTCTGAATCCTATCCATTTTGAGAATATTGCCTTTGCTTATGATCTGTCAGGGACAAGAACAGCAGACTCAATCCGTATAAGCAACATCTCACAAAATGTATACAGAGGAAGATGAGTAAATTTCAATGTGCATTTAAGAGTGCCTGTGTAGGTGCGCTTATGTCTCCAAGTGCGTGTTTGTACTCCTGTACGTGTGTGTGTGCATGTATCCTATATGTGGCTTTTCAGATAGCTGTGTATATGTAAACGTGTAAATATGCAGCTTTCTGTGTACTTGGGAGCTTTTTGGATCAGCCTCTTGACATATCCTCGTTGAGATATAACTGGGGCCATCAACCAGGTCGAATCATCATGCTCATGTGTGCGTGGCCCTAGGGTTTAGATATATCCTAAACATACCCCAGCAGCAGAATTGGGTGCTTTAATGTGGAGTTTGTGTTCCAACTTTGCATGTCCTGACCAAACTTACTGGTTTAGGGTTATTTCGAGGTTTGTCGACCAGGTACAGTAGTGGGGATCAGTTAGCTCAGTTGGCTGGAGGGATGGCTTGTGATCCTGAGTGATGCCAACAGCATGGGTTCGCTTCTCATACCAGCTGAGTTTATCATGAAGGACTGTGACATAGTAAAATGAGTTAATACCAGCTATATTGACTACATGGTGTCCAGGCCTGAACGTCCATCATGTCATTGTACACAAATCATAGGAAGCCGGTAAAGTAATTAATTAGAAAGCCAAATAGAGCATTGTGATTTACTGTAAGGAGAGCAGAATGTAAACATAGGAAAGTTTTCCTGCAACTGCACAGAATCTTATTTAGGTTGTAATTGAAGCACTGTGTACAGTTTCCACTTCACTTAAAAAAGAGGATGTAACTCTATTAGAAGTAGCTCAAAGAAGATTCACCCAGCCAATGCGAATGATTAAGCGGCTGTCTTATACGTGGAAAAAATTAAGCCTGTGTCCATTGGAATTTATAGGAATAAGATGTGATTTAACTGAAACATACATGACAAAGATGGGTGCTGAAAAAAATGTTTCCCTGGGTGGTGGAGTGTAAAACTAGGTGGCAGTTTAAACATCAGGCATTCGCCATTTAAGACTGAGGTAGAGCAATGTATTTTATTTCTTAAGTCATTGCTCTGGCGAATTCACTTTCCCTGAGAGCAGTGAAGGCAGGGTTTTTGAAGATATTTAAGGCTAAGTTAGATTTTTAATTGAGAAGGGAATCCAAGCCAATGGGAACCAGACAATGGCCAGACATCACCTCTCCTGTTGTTGAACAGAGAGACCCAGGGTGCAGGTACACATGTAGACAGGGTGGTGAAGAAGGCATTTGGCATGCTTGCCTGTATTGGTCAGAGCATTGAGTACACAAGTTGGGACGTCATATTACAGCTGTACAAGATATTGTAGTCACCCATTTATAGGAAGGATGTTGTTAAATATGAAAGTGTACAGAAAAAAATTTACTAGGATGTTGCTGGTACTGGAAGGATTTGACTTATAAGGAGAGGTTTGATATGCTGGGACTTTTTTGCCCTAGGCATCAGAGGCTGAGGGGTGACCTTTTAGAGTTTTATAAAGTCAAGAGGACTACAGATAAGGTGACTAGTCAAGGTCTTTTCCCCAGGTTAGGGGAGTCTAAAACAAGAGGGATAGTAATAAGGTGAGAAGAGAAAGATTTAAAAGGGACCTGAGGAGCAACAGTTTCAAACAGAGAGTGGGTCACATATGGAGTGAGCTGATAGAGGAAGTGGTGGAGGCAGGTACAATTACAACATTTAAAGGACATTTTGACAGGTACATGAATAGGAAAGGTTTAGCGGGTTTGGGCCAAATGCAGGAAAATGGGGACTAGTTCAGCTTGGGAAACCTCATCAGCATGGACGACTTGGGCCAAAGGGTATGTTTCCATGCTGTATGATTCTATGGCTCTATAAAGTTGAGTTAAGGGTCAGAAGTCGAGCAGCTCCCATTTTATTGGATGTAGATCAGACTCGAAGAATGGAATATTCCTCATTCTTGTGTCCTTGTCAATATTATCTGCCGTGGATCATCCCAGAAAAAGGAAGATGGAACCAAAAATGCGCATATCTGCGGGCGAATAGAGCTCAGGATCAATTGTGATATAGTAATGCACTTACCATGTAGTAGTAATACTTGACATTTTCACTGCCTTGAGAAGTGACCACTTTTAGATCTGCAGAGAATGACCCACTTGGATCTAATACGCCTTGTGGCACATTGACATGGAGGTAGCTCTTGCTATTGGAATGGTAGATCCGCACAGATTTGTTTGCTTCAATACTTTCTGTTCCTTTCCCAGCTGTCACCTGGCAGAGCAATGCATACACAGGTTATCCCACCTTTCCTCATTAAGTGAACATAGTTGACCTTGCTTGCTTTTGTCCGATCAGATATCTGATTATGGCTTTATGATGAAATGAGCCCAAGTACCGTTTGGTCAAGAATGAAAGAATTTTCACACGTAATGCAATTTACTTATTTAATACTTTGGATTCTGTTTTACATTTTTTGAGATATTACTCCCAAGTTAATTACTTTTGCCAAAGGCACACTCACGTATTTGCAAGAAATCGACGTATGAATTCTTAAACATCACAATTGTCTGTTCTCACCTTAATTTCAAAATGGTCAGTATTCGCAGGAGATTGCATTGTTAACACGACTTGGCCATTTTCCTGCGTATGTTGCGGACGTTCTCCTTCCAATTTCACAGGAACGCCTGCGGCAGGAGACCCATCAGGGTATGTTACCTGTGCCTGGTAGTGAAAATGATAGCTATTTAGGAAGAGTCATAGAGTCATACAGTTTAGAAACAGACCCTTCAGTCCAACTGGTCCGTGCCAACCATAATCCCAAACTAATCTAGTCCCACCAGCCTGTGCTTGGCCCATATCCCTCCAAACATTTCTTATTCATGTACTTATCCAAATGACTTCTAAGCATTGTAACTATACCTGAATCCACCACTTCCTCTGGAAGTTCATTCTACACATGAACTCTGTGTAAAAAGTTGTCCCTCATGTCTCTTTAAAATCTTTCTTCTCTCACCTTAAAAATAGGCCCTCTAGTCATGAACTCTATGGAAAAGACACCTGCCATTCACCTTATCTATACTCCTCATAATTTGATAATGTCACTTCTCAACCTCCTATACTCCAGTGAGAAAAGTCCCAGCCTATCCAACCTCTCCTTATAACTCAGATACCGCAGTCCCAGCAACATCCTGGTAAATCTTTTCTGAACCCTCTCCAGCTTAATAATACCCTTCCTAAAACAGGGCAACCAGAAATGGACACAGTACTCCAAAAGAGGCCTCACCGATGTCCTGTACAACCTCAACATGATGTCCCAACTCCTATACTCAAAGATCTGAGCAAGAAGGCAAGTGTGCTAAACCTTCTTAACCACCTCATCTACATGTGATGCAAACTTAAAAGAATTATGTACCTGAACTCCTAGGTCTGCAGGCTCTACAGCCCTACCCAAGGACTTGCCTTCCATTGTATAAGTCCTGCCCTTATTTGTTTTACCAAAATGTCCAAATTAAACGCCATTAGTCACTTCTCAGCCCATTGGCCAAATTGATTAAGATCTCTTTGTATCTTAGATAGCCTTCTTCACTGTCCACTGTACCACCAATTTTAGTGTCAAATGCAAAGTTACTGACCTTGCCTCCAACCTTCCACAAATTGTCTTTTTCCTGTTTTCTTCTGCTCTTAGCTGTAAGTCCCGAATCTCCAGCTCCTTTCAGCTTGTAAGCGAAACTTGGAATTCTCACTCAATGCTTTTGTCTACAATTGCTTTCTGGCCTCGTATATCATTTCCTTCAGTTCCATTTGTATCATTTAATTAATTCATCTGGTCGGGTTTCAACCTCATAAAATGATCACAAGCTAAGGGCTTTGCCCAGCATTGATGTATTACCATCAGCCCCTTAATGAAGTCTGAAAGTGTTGCCTACTCCACAATGACATTGTAAAGTATTTAACTTCATAATTTAACTTCTATTAAGCAGACATAAAAAATTTTCCGTGATAACATGATGGATCCAGATTTCCCACAGAAATCATAACAGTAGAAGAAATGGAGTAAAGTGAAGTGGACGGCTGGAATTTTTGCCACATTGCTGACAGGCTTATTATAATGATATTTCTTGCAGAAAAGTCAGCGCAATGGTGCCTGAGGTTATGGAGTGCGTACAGCGTGGAAGAATGCAGAATTGCCGAACACAAGACCCTTTCTAGATAAGCATCATTTGACACTAATTAGGTTGAGAATTAGTTCCCGAGACAGGGTCCTTCCTCAAATCCTGTCTCCCCCTCACCCTTACACACAAACCTCTCTCCCAGATTGCAGAACAGGAGGGAGCCCTCAGCCACTGATATGGCAAGCGCTGCAGCTTCAGTTGCATTTAAGAAGCCTGAGTGAGGAAATAACGGATGACGGATCGTTGGAGAATTGGGGAGATGGAAACCAGAGAGAGAACAGCTTTTGAGCAACAACGGGATGGATTATAACAGGCCTGTGAGAGAGAAATACTGATAATGGAGACCATAAGTAGTTGGAAAAGTATTATCAGCTTCTTTTCCCCTAAATTCATTGGATCTGGGTGTCACTCGCTAGGCCAGCATTTATTATCCATCCCTAATTGCCCAGAGGGCAATTAAGAGTTATTGTAGGTATGGAGTCACTGCAGGCCAGAGCAGGAACTTCGTTCCCTAAAGGGCATTAGTGAACCAGATGGGATATCCCCCACAACAATTGTTCTAGCAAGGATTTGTCGTTAGACTCTGAATTCCAAATTTTTATTGGATTCAAATTCTACCATCTGCTGTTGCAGGATTTGAAACCTGATTCTTACAAAGTTACCTGGGTCACTAGAGTAACAGTCCAGTGATAATAGCACTCGGCCATCTCCTCCCCCAAGCATTTTCTCTCTCTCCCGGGCATACTATCATTCATCTCTTTGCCTAGCTGTTATTGTTTTTTTTCTCTCTCTCTCTCTGGGCTCCATCACTGCCTATCCTCTTACTCCTTGCCCATTCCGCCACCCACCCTACTTTGACTTCAGCGTATATGCCATCTTTTCTAGCTGCTAGCAGCTCTGAAGATGGGTCACTGGACCCAAATGTTAACTCTGCCTTCTGTCCACATGCTCCCGGACTTGCCGAGTTTACCCAGCAATTTCTGTCCTTGTTTTATACGCCCCCACATGGGTCTGTATTATATCAGATGCTATATACAGAGCTGCTATGTCTGCACATACCAGCACAGTGAATGGTACTTTGGGAATGAAGTAACCGCTGGTCTTTGATAAATCGATTACATACGGTGAGGAAACGAACTTGATGTTTTTGATTTCGACTTCTTCCATTTCTCCACCTGTCAGAAAATAGAAAGCCGTTTCACTTCCAGGGTTTATTTGTTATTTTACAGAGAACAATGCAGCACAGGAACAGGTCCTTCGACCCACAAAACTGCACCAACACATGATGCTAACTGAAATCATTTGCCTCTTCACTGTCCACATCCCTGTATTCCCTGCCTATTCATGTCATCTGTCAAGATGCCTCTCTTGTATTTGCCTCCACAAGCTTTTATTTGATTTCAAATTTTTGATCAAGTTTTCTTTCATTTCCATTCTTCATGTTTTATTGCAATTATTTTAATTCTGCTTTTTGGTTCTGTCACGAGAGTCACTCGCAAAGGGAGCAATGGATATGAGCTTGATAGGAACATTTCAGAGGGATAGGAGTAAACTCATTGCTGTGGTCATGGAGTCATAAATAGAGCAGGATGGGTAAGAATTGCCTTAATGAACCAGGTGGAATTTAACAACAGGTCATGCTAATATTACTGCAACTCCAGCCTCTCAACAGAACAAGTCTTTTTTTTTAATCTGCATGCATGAAAAGAAATAACAAAGGACATGTGGTAAATCATAATATGTTCATGCAGAGTCAAATAACTGCGCAGGGGCCTGTATCCTGTCACCAAGTCACCTTTTATTTACACGTGCACAGGACACCGGCTGTGGCCATCTAGCTCCGAGTCAGTCCCCTGAGATGAGGAGATTCTAAAATCCCCTGGTAATATTGGTCAGCCAGGGCTTCCTGATTGACCAACCTTTACAACCCCAATCAAGAGTCTTGTAGTCAATAACATCCACTTGGTTCCAATCATTACACAGCACCAATCGGTTTAATAAAGCAAATTGTGTTGAACACACCAATGGAGGTTTTCGATGGTGTATCTAGCAAAGTAGTTGAGGGGAGACAGTGGCTGTAATATATTGGAGTTTCCAAACGACATTTAATGAGACGCCACACAAGATTTATTATACTTGGGTCTGATGGGATTGGATGCATTTTATTTTGCATGAAATGAGGTTAAAATGGAAAATAGGAATAAATGAATAATTTTTGGATAATAGGATGTAACTAATGGAATGTAAGGCTTAGCACTTGGAGCTCAGTTGTTTATAATATATTGACTGTGACCAGACCTTGTTTCCTTCAGTTTGTTTTGATTTGTTTCATCTGACTTGAACCTCATGACATTCAATTATGACCGAAATTGATGAGGTGTTGAGCGAGTGTCCATTGTTTGCACAGCAAACCAAATGCATTGAAAATTACCTACTGAGCCTAGATTTAGGCTCTGCCTAATACTGCCGATTTTTAAATTGGATTTGGCCAATTGCTTGTCGTAGGACTCTACTCCTTAGTTCCCCAGAGAGAACGAGAAAGAGTGAGCAAGACATAGACATAATTTTAAATCAATAAGGGAGCAAGAGTTGTAGTGATAGGGAGGGAAGGTGGACTTGATGATGAAGAGATCAGCCATTGACTGGCGAAGGAGACTCAATGGGTCAAATGCATATTCCAAATCTCAAGTGTTTAAAACAGTAATCCGAATGTCTGGATTAATCCTATAGTGGCGGCTCTGCTATCATGCCATCGTCCACTCCGTTCATCCGATAAATTTTTGGCAGTAAAGTTTTGGGGTTGCATCAACCTTAACTGGTCAAGTCAACCTTTCTGTCGAATAAGGACCGCTGCCTTAAACAGGATATATATCATATATACACATGGTATTTTAGCCAAGGCTTGAAGTGATGACCATTTTTGCCTCAAATATGACAAAAAACAATGAAGGCAACAATACAATCAACAGATAACACCATGGTAACAATGTGATTTTATTTCTTGTTCCCCAAAAATTACGTTGTAGGTAATGACTTCCAAGAAAATTGCATTTTCCCTGCCAGGACTAAGGCTGCAGTCATCTTGTCCCCAAAGCTGTAGTGGCAGTATCCCTACCTCTGAACCAGGAGGCCCAGATTCAAGTCCCCACTTTTCCCAGAGGTGTGCAATGACATCGGTGAGACCAAGCGGAGGCTCGGAGACCATTTTGTAGAGCACCTGCATTCTGTTTGTGACAAACCACAATGCCTTCCAGTCGCGAACCACTTCAACACCCCCTCCCACTCCCTGGATGATGTGTTCATCCTGGGCCTTCTCCAGTGTCACAACGATGCCACCCACAAACTGGAGGAGCAGCACCTCATATTCCGTCTCAGGAGCCTACAGCCCAATGGCCTAAATGTGGATTTTACCAGTTTTAAAATCTCCCCACCCCCGGCCTCATCACGTGACCAACCCTCCCTCTCATCTCCACCTCATTGACCTGGCACAACCTGTCCATCTTCTCTCCTATCTGCTCCTCCCACCTCACTAACCAATCCCCACCACTGCCTACCTGCACTCACCTATCACCATCCCACCTACCTTCCCCAGCCCCACCCCTCCTCTCTCTATTTATTTCCCAATTCCCTTACCCCTCCCCCATTTTTGAAGAAGGGTCCTGACCAGAAACGTCAACTTTCCTGTTCTTCTGATGCTGCCTGGCCTGCTGTGTTCCTCCAGCTCCACACTGTGTTATCTCTGACTTCAGCATCTGCAGTTCTTACTACCTCTGACATCTCTTAGCAGGCTGGTTAGGAAAATCTCAGGAATAGTAAGTTCCATGTTTCGCATGCGACGCCTAAAGGCCAATGCAAACATTGCGCCATTCGAAGATAGTAAGAACTGCCGATGCTGGAATCGGAGATAACACAGCGTGGAGGTGGAGGAACACGGCAGCATCAGAGGAGCAGGAAAGCTGACGTTTCGGGTCGGGACCTGCGAGAGGGTTAGGGTTAGCGCTGCCCAGTAAGTCACAGGTTATCCGGCCGAGGTGATTCTCCCATAGTCGTCAAGGGATTAATTTGTAAAGAAGGCCGAAAGTTGGGAAGAGGCACTTACTGGATGTTTCAAAAACAGTGACCGCCATATACAGATAGTGACCCACAAGATCATTCATCGTATGCAAATGTTTGATTCTTTCCTGGAGGTTTGCCGTTAATAGGGAAATCTCCACCTCTCCGTACTTGACCTGGAAGTGAGAATGAATATATAGATATATCATCCAACTGTAATCCAGTGCCTTATTGTTTTCAGTCTCGATGCTTTCTCCTGTCCTGGGCTTTGTTTACCAGAATTTACTCATGGGATCTGGGAATACTGCGTTCGATTCTGTTCTCCCTGCTATAGCAAAGATGTTGTGAGATTTGAAAGCCAAAGGCTGAGGGCTGACCTTCTAAAAATTTATAAAATCATAGGGGGCACACTATTGAGGTGAGAAGAGACAGATTTAAAAGAAGACATGAAGGACATTTTTTTTACACAGAGGGTGGTCTGTGTGTGGAATGAACTTTCTGAGGAAGTGATGGATGCGGGTACAGTTATCATGTTTAAAAGGCATTTGGATAAGTGCATGAATAGGAAAGGTTCGGAGAGATATGGGCCAAAAGTAGGCAGGTGGGACTAGTTTAGTTTGGGATTGTGTTGGGCATGGACTGCTTGGTACCGAAGGATCTGTTTCCGTGCTGTATGACTCTATGAGGGCCATGGATAGGGTAAATAGTTAAGGACTTTTCCCCAGTGTAGGGGAGTCTAAAACTAGAGGGCATAGGTTTGAAGTGAGAGGGGACAATTTTAAGGGCAGCGTTTTTCACGCAGAGGGTGGTGCGTGTATGAAATGAGCTGCCAGAAGAAGTGGCGGAGGCTGGTACAATTACAATATTGAAAAGGCATCCGATAGGTATATGAATAGGAAGGGCTTAGAGGGATGTGGGCCAAATGCTGGCAAATGCGACTAGATTAATTTAGAACATCTGGTCAGCATGGACGAGTTGGACCGAAGGAAATGTTTCCGTGCTCCACATCTCAATGACTCGATCTTAGTATTCGGATTTCAACGGCAAAAGCAGCCCGAACTACACTTAAAACAAACCAGAGACCATGTTGAAATCGATTGTCCTGAAAATTTGATTTGTTTAGGCAAACTGGCCAAAGACCTGCCAGTAGAAACGGTACAAATTCATGGGAACTGGACTATCACCGGTAAAATAGCCCGAGTATGGATCTCAATTCCACCAGCTGGCGTGAGGGAAGCCGTGAGCAGCAGTCGAAAACTGAGAACAGCAGAGTGGATACCTGCTCTATACCCGATAAAAAGCGAAAGACCTGCGGATGCTGGAAACCAAAAGCAGAAACAGAAGTTGCTGGAAAAGCTCAGCAGGTCCGGTAGCATCTGAGGAGCGAAATCGGTGTTGACGTTTCAGTTCCAGTGACCCTTCCTCAGAACCGCTGGCAGCCAGGAACATGTTATTTATTTTATGCAGAAGAGGGGAGGGGTTAAGGTGTAAATGATAGGTGGGGATAGAACCCAAAGAGAGAGAACAGCGGTTTGACAGACAAAGGAGTGGGTGACAATCAGGCTAGGAAGGCGAATAGCTGTTAATTGGGACCATTAGTGGCTAACAATGGGTTGTGCCAAAAACAAAATTTTCCCAGCTGCCACCAGTTCTGAGGAAGGGTCACTGGACTCGAAACGTTAACTCTGATTTCTCTACACAGATGCTGCCAGACCTGCTGAGTTTTTTTTTGTTTCCCAGCAATTTCTGTTCGCTGTACAGCCCAGCCTGACTTTATTGCTGCATCGAATTCAATGGAAGTCGGATGGAATCTAAAACAAGCGGCCGGTTTGTTTTTCGCATTAGTATCAAAAACTTCTCCCTGCTTGTGTTTAATATCTGCCATTCCCGACCAGCACTTTATGATCAACGTTATATTGGGAGTGCAGATATGCTCCAGATCTGAAATTTCACAACATGATTTATATCAGTGGCTTGAAATGACTACGTCTGGGAGATGATGATCTTTCCACACGGTGTATAAGATCCTTCTGTGTGGGTGCTGTCACGCTTTATCGTGACAGCTTCTCAACTTGCCTTTGAATTCTGACAATGACACTTACTCATTAAGGTCGCTGTATCAGCAAATTGCTAAAACAGTGCCACTTCATGACACAGATATTCCGAATTGAGAAAAAAAAAACACAATCTTTCATGCCTTTCTAACTGCATGGCGCCACCATTTTCTGCAGGCTATGGGATGTTCTCACCTTCTTTGTTTGTTCCAGTCCCCGAAGGTATTCATTCTTGTCTGTTTCGTCAATAATCCCGAATCTCACATAAGCCATTCCTTCCACAGGTTTCCCGTATGTGTATCTTTTTTTAAAAAATGGCCAAAGTGAAGCAACATTATTTGAAGTAAACCAGATGCTGATTGTAAACTTTTGTAACAGTGCCGGGCAACCCGCAGATTTACGAAATCAACATTTCTGATGTTACAAATTAGAAATGGTGAAATAAGATGTGTTTTGTCGAGGATCATCGTGTGCCCATCAGGAAAATACACAAGAATACCAGTTCAAGGGGAAATTGCAATTTCTTCTGCATGAGAGTGTTGGTTGGCCTGCAATTAGAATCTGCGTGGTAGAAGCGTTCCCAATGTGATTGCGCCTATTAAAGCTGATTGACACTGAACTGCGAGACTTTGCATACATTTTAAACTAAGTTAGGGAATTGCTCTGAGAAATGAACTAGCAAATGGCTGTCACTTCGTTTGTTAGCTGAAGCAAGCTGTGTGTGTATATTTAATTTGTCTGTAAGTTTATAACTAACCGAAATAAAGCAAAAATCCGCGGATAACTCAGCACGCCAGGCATTCATTGCAGAGAAAAAGACGAGAGTTAAAAGGTTCAGGTCAATAACTTTTCTTCAGGGCCCGTTATCGATCACTCCCAGACAACCCTCACATAGAGCCAAATGAGACCTATTTTGAACTCTCCTTTGTTTGAGAGACCTGAGTTGAGAAACGTTCGCTGGTTGCAGAAGCTGCCTGACTTTTTGTTTGTCGAGCCAAAACAAATAGAACAAAAGACAGAAATGTAATATTATACCAAAAGTGTAGTAGGAGATAACGATATTGTACTCACTCTGCCGAAATTTTGCACGTGAATTCGTCCTTTGTTATTAGGTAATATTTTTCCTGGCACCTAACTTCAACCTTGAAACTGGGAAGAACTTTAAAATATATTGAAGTCAAATTTAACCACGAAAATATGTGATATGGGTACTTAGCAGAGAATACAGTTGCTACATTGCAGCAAAGTTATTAGGTTATCATTGAAAGTATGTGATTTGTTTCTACTTCTTAGTTGAAAAATTAACCATAAACTGACAGGACATAGCCTTAACTTTCGCCAAAAAACAAACACAAATGATATTGGACCTGTAACAGTTTAACACCTCTTTGGCGTTTCCTTGCTTTTCTGACGGACATTACATACCTCACACTTTACCTAAGATTGCTCATGCACTGCATTAACACATCCACAACAGATGTTTAGAATCCCAGAACTTTGTGTGATTTCATTAACTTTCCATATGGCAATATGCACAATTTTTTTTAAACATAGATAGACAAATGAGCAGATACAATTAGATTGACAGATAGATAAGTGGACGGATGAACAGAAAGACAAAGAAGCAAGCAGACAAATGCTGAGTGGAACAATTCGTATTGATAGTGCTACCCAACCAATATCGTGTTCCAAAGACTTAGCTGGAAGTGAAAAATTGCCTGCTTGGTTCTCCAGCTGGTTATAAATTACTTGGATTCATTTTTGCTTTTGTGGCCGGTTGGAAAAGAGACCGGGAATGAATTACACGTCTGTTCATATATTTCCAGATCTACATTTCGATTTACTTCATTTGAGATGAACATATAGGGGAGAGGTGATACTGCACATTTTGTACCAAGCAGTATGTGTATACTATTTTGTACCATTCAATATAAATGTAATCCATGATCTTTACCGATCGAGTAACAAAATTTGAATTTAGCCCTATTCAAGGCTATTAGCAGAATATCAGTTTGATTGAAATTATTCTCCCCTTCAACTTTATAGACTGTGGACATAAAAAGTATTTTACAAAATCGTCTCTCGACCAAGATCCTGGGATAATGTAAACTAGTATTAAAAGACAGTCAGGAACAATTAAAGATAATTCATTGTATTTCCTCCCTCAATATACGAGCGTTAAAAATTGTTACCGAATTCCTTGACCTCAAATTGTGCGGATTCCATGGACATTGGTGAATCCTCAAATTGCGCCTCAATCCTCCAAATGCCAGGTCTGTTTAGAAAAGGTTAACAGGACATTCTTTAGAGCTTCTCTCGACTATATCTTGGAACGGTGACACATGGATGATAAAAGGTACGGAAATTCGATTTAGCTGTTGGCACGAGATAAACATGTTGTATAGGACACAGATAGCATTCTGCCTGATAGTTGATTCCAGGAGCTTGTTGTAAAAGATATTTTCTTTGTTCTTGGAGTTTAAAGACACCAGTTGCCTGAACTATCTTTAAGTTTCAGTCAGACACCAACCAGTCGGACAATTTTCTAGTTACCAGCTCAGGTAAAACTGAATATTATGACCGGTCAAAATAAATGGATAAAGAAAATATTTTAAAAAAGTGAGGAACTGAGCTGAACAAACATTTAAAAAAAAAACAGACGACTGCAGCCAGTCAAACACACACTTGAACAAATCCGAGTGGATGTTTGTATTTTAAATGATTTTTTTTAACTCTATCTGAACAGTATCTACCTCACTCAGTTTGGGACTGATGGCCTACTTTCTGTGCCACAAAATATCTGGGCATAACAGTGTTATACCTTGGGTAGTATGTTTGTTTGTCTTGTAAGGATGGTCTTATTGTAACTTGCATATCATTGAAGTATGTGAAGCTGGCTTTCACATCCCTTTTGTACAGCTAAGTACAAGTCGAACATCACAGATTCAAAGCGATATTCACTTCGGTTTCTGGTAAAACTGATTGATATAAGGCTCTTTGCCAGCTACTCATCCAGACAAACAAAAAATCACGAGTGGTTGTAGTGGGTGACCAATTCAATACTGTTTATTTTACACTATGTTCAGAAGTTGAAATTCCACCTAAAACACCTAATATGAAAATTCGCATCATCCACTTGTTGTTTACTCTGGGTTCCTCCTGGAGTTAAAAATTCACTTAAAATGCGGATAACAAGACGTGGCTTTGCCTTGACTCATCTAGAAACTCAGTTCAAAACAAAAATGTTTTAACTGGGCGCAGAATTCTTCCTGAGGCATTAAACAATTTAGTTGCTTGTTGAATTCCCAGTGTTGGGATGAGAAACTGGCCCTAGACATTAGGTCAAAATGATGATCCCCATCACTAGCTCACACGAGATTCTTTCCAATCGAAGTTAAGGGAAATAAACATTGGACAATACATGAACCATCCTTGGTTAAATACCATGGAAATTGAGACTTCACCGCATTTGGTTACTTGGATAATTGCATGGGAACAAACATATAAATATTATAATTAGGTGTAGAAATAGACCCATCCATCCTACTTTGCCATTCACTTAGATTATGACTGACCTGAATATGGCCTCAACCCCACATTTCTGTTTGCTAACGATAACCATCAACTCCTTTGTTAGTTAAGGACTAGTCTGTCTTAAAACTATTCAATTACCCGGCCTCCCCATTTGCTGTGGAAGAGAATTTCAAACAGTCACGCTCGCTTGAGAGAAACAAATCCTTCTCAGGTCCAACCTAAATGGGAAATACCAAATCTTTAAACTGTGTCCCCTCGTTGTAGCCTCAGCCTGAAGGCGAAACGGCCCTTGAACATCCATCCTGCCAAGTCCCCGCTGTATCTCAGGTTTCAATGAGATCACCTCTCGTGCTATGTATTTGGCAGTGATGGTACAATTACCATTGCTTACTTTGCGTCAGCAATCCACCCAGTCTCGAACTACCAGTGACTAACAAGTAAAATTCGGATGGCATTAATGTCAGTTGACAATTTCATTGCTGCCTTGCACTATAATGTCTGCGCGTTACTTTTGACCACAGCAACGTTTCCAGCCGACAATCTGCTTACGTAGGTCCTAGGCATGTGTCTAATAATTCACGACCTAAGATGCACTTCCATTGCCATGTTATTTTCACATCTGTTCCATGCATCCTACTTTCGTTTTCTCAAAGTGTAAATCATGCGCGCCATTTGCTCAAAAACCTTGGCAAATGTAAGAAAGAGCACAATACCATCCAATTCTTCCATTGTGTTAGCAGTGGTTGAGGTATAGCGCACGCATGTGTAAAGGACAGGGCTAAAAGAGAGCGGTCAAACCATTTTATTTCAGCTAATGACATATCGTGGCCTCTGTGGAAGACTGATTTCAGTGACTTCAACACGTCCTAGGCTGCTAATCCCAACTTCATACTGAGCCACAGTGGGAGTTAATATCTTCTGAACGAGACGTCATATTCAAGGTATAATCTGGACCACCAAAGGGATATAACTAATCCCATGACGTTTGTTTTGAAAGGGAGCATGCAAATTCGTCCTGGTGTCTTGGCGTACTTTACTGGTCAACCAAAATGACCAGAAGATATCATCAAATCGATGTGTGTGTGATCTTGCTGTGCTCAATGGCCTCTGACCTTTCTTTCGTGCTAATAGTGTCTACACTTTAGATGTAACGTGTTCTGGAACTTCCGGCATTCTGAAAGAAGCTGGGCAAATGCCAATCATAGAATCCCTGCAGTGCGGAAGCGGGCCATTCGGCCCGTTGAGTCCACACCGCCTCTCCGAAGATCACCCCAGCCAGCCCCTACTTCCGACCCTATCCCTGTAGCTCCACATTAATCATGGCTAACCTACCTAGCCTGCAAATCCCTGGACTATGGGCAATGTAGCATGGCCTGTCCACCGAACCTGCACACCTTTGGGCTGTGGGAGGAAACCGGAATACCCTGCTTGTTTACAAATATCTCACTTGATTTATTTTCTGGACTGGGAGGCCCCTGTGAGCTGTAAATTTTTCTAGGTTCTAGCCATCAGTTGCTAGATTGAATGAATGTACGTCCAAGTATGGTCAGTCAGACTCTAGGCTGGTATGAGAAAACTTTAGAGCCATACAAAGGAAATGCGGTCATTGTTTCCAGGCAGATTTGTAATGAATCATAGAATCCCTACACTGTAGAAGAAGGCTGTTCAGCCCATCGAGTCCATGCCGACACTCCCAACAACATCCAATACAGACTCATTCCACTACCCCGGCCCTGTATCCCTGCATTTCCCACGGCTAATCCACCGAGCCTGCACATTCCTGGACACAATGGGCAATTTAGTATGGCCAATCCACCCTAACTGCATATCTTTGGCGCCAGGGATTATTGCAGAGCTGTCAGCCTTCGAGAAAGAAGCAGATTCGTGACTACGTACCACCACATAGGCCAAAGCTATCATTTAAACCCTGGTAACCTTGTCGAGGGCTGGGAGGGAGGTGGGGTCCCCGCATTTGAGCACCACTGTGCCCAATGGAAGTTATCCCCCGCCCCCGGGCTGCATTGTCGCACAGTGGTTAGCACTTCTGTCTCACAGAGCCAGGGAGGCAGGTTCAATTCCAGCCTCGGGCGACTACCTGTGTAAAATTTGAACCTTCTCCCCATGTTTGTGTAGGTTTTCTCCCACAGGGGGTGGCTCACGTCTGACTTTTAGGATGAAGGTTTGGGAAGAGGAAAGGTGGGATTCGCAGAACAGAGGCGGTGTTATAACGTTAATGAAATGTTCTTCTCTATCTACCTATCTATATATATATAAAACATAAATAACGCTAAATCATTTGCAAAAGTCTTTTCCAGTCCTATTCACAATCTGAGTGTTCCTCTACAATACTCAAACTCAATCTGCTGTGGTTATGCATTGTACATCTTTTCACTTTTGATTTGATTTGATTTTTTGATTTGATTTATTATTGTCACATGTACCTAGGTACAGTGAGAAGTCTTGTTTTGCGTGCAATACAGGCAGAGTACAATGTGCATTAGGCTGATAGAACAGAATGAGGAATACAATATTACGGCCGCAGAAAAGGTGTACAAAAAGCAAGGCCAACATTACATTTAAAATTTGAAGGCATTACACTATATGGTGCAGATACTTAATGGGTAGTGTCGAACTACAATTTTTAAAGTGTGAATAATTTCTATGGATCTGGATAGCAGGGAAGTCTCCGTTCTTACGAGCAACAGTGATTCAGTTTGCTGGCAAATTCTGTTCATGGTGATGTGATTATTTGGTGTTCCACCAGTGAACTGGTTGAGCAATGACCACTACGGGGTGGGGGGATGGGGGCGTGGAATCATTACCGGATCTGCAGAAACGGTTCGATTTCTCAAGAAACGGAAATGTGCTCCGAGAATGATTAGGCTTCTGCTCAGGGTAAAAGACCTATTCGCAAAACAGTTTCATGAACTTACTCGGCGATATCCGGGATTTTTATCTGGCGACTGAACACTTCTCCAGACCGTCTGATCATGCTGGGAAACTGCACATTTCTGGAATTCTAGAAGGAGAGATCGATGTATTCAATTCGACAATTGACAGTGATGTACTGGTTATATTTGGCACCCCTTTTCTATTCGATTACAAGTAAGTTGAGAATGGCCGCAGAATTCGCGTTACCTCGCTGTGCTTTTGGTCCATAATTCACTGAACATAATTCAAAACTCTGTTCACTGTCAATTTTGAATTCTGTTGTGCCTCGCTATTTTACAAGAAAACGGAAGAGCAGAATTGGTGTAGTTCATCAAGATCATATTTGGAAATTGAAATTAATTAAATTAAGCAAGGCATCGTAAAGAAATCAGTGTGAAAATGTTATATAATTCCCAATGTACTCACATATACAGTTATTTTAATCGTCTCGCTCACTGGTCTCATATATTGATCCAGAGTAAAGATCCTGTAACGCACTGTACAATAAAATAAACGGACATATCACTGCGCTTGACTAATAATGTTTGTTAAATGAAAAGAGTGACATAAAACATAACGTGGCGGAATTGTGTTTGTCACCAGCTACAATTTCCCTGGATAATCAATCCCAGTAACTTCAATAGGATTGAGCAGAAAGCAGGGCTCACCGAAGATTCAACCCTTTAGTATTCAAAACTGGGTTTTAAATTTTTAACGATGTTTTGAAACACCACCGGAGTAGATGGGAGTTGAACTCAAATCTCCTGGCTCAGAGTTAGGGAGACTACCACTGCAGCACAAGAGCCCTAAAACTGATTCTTATCTCGATGTTTACACAGTTGGACATGAGTGGGGACTGTGAACAAATAAGTTCGCTTTTGATGTTGGTGAATCACAGAAATTGCAGAATTCCTATGGTCTGTGCCAGCTTTCCAACTGAGTCAAATCTTCTGCTTCCTCCTACCCACACTGCACATTGTTTCCATTTATGTTACCATCTAATTCCCATGTGAATATCTAATAACCGTGTAATTCCTCTTCTATTCTCTAATGACAGTGTGATTTCCTTTAGAATTCGAATATTTGTTCATTTTTTAAAAAAAAAATCGAAGTCAATGGAACTGGACATGGGCTGAAGCACAAAAGTTCACCACAAACATGACAGCGTCCATTTTGTTGTCCCATCTTTGTCCTGTTGGTTCTTCAATTTCAAACCACGTTGCAAAATAAGAGCTATGAATGGCGAAAACAAAGTAGATCTGGCAGCATCAAGTTCTAATGAAAGAACGCAGACCTGAACCATTGAAGTTTTTCTTTCTCCTTTGTTGCTACCACAGCCTTTTATTTTCCTTCATAGGATGCCAGTGTCACTAAGAAGACCAAGTTTGTTCCCAACCCCTCAGACTCCTCACTAAGATGGCACTTGCAAAGTGTTTCTAGTTTCAGACATTCAGCATCTGTCGGACTTTGCTTTATACTTGAATTGTGAATTGTGAATTTGTCTGGCTGGAGGAATACTGTAGAGAGTGGGTTGTCCATTTCACACCCAGTCTCATTCTCCTGTCTATTGGCTTTATGTTTGATGGAGTGACCTATAAGATGCGGCCTAGGATGAAATTAGGACCAGTTGTGTGGTCGCCGTTGTAAGTGAGCATTTCACTTGGTAATATGTGACAGGATTGGCAGTAGCTGGGTGAAGCCTCATAGATGTCATACAACTTAGCGCAAATGGGACACATTCTTTTGCAAAAATACAAAACCTATTTCTTTCCATTTTCTCCCAACTGTACTTTCCACCCAATTCCCCTGAAAGGTGTTCTTGGTCCTATTTATGTTCGTTTGAAGTCTTGCATTGAACTGTGTTTGGTGTATGAGTAGGTGTAGCTGTAACACATTTCACAAAATAATATGTGTTGGTATTTTGTTGTAATCTTCAGCTATGTTATCCAAGCAGACATTAATAGCAGAGTCCTGCTGATGTGGTCATTATTGACCTAGACTTTATTGCTAATTCTATTGAAGGCATTGGACCTTAACAAGTATTATAACATCACGGCTAAAGTAGATCATTCACCACTTAAACATTAATCCCTTCATCACCAACATACAGTGGCAGCAGTGTCTACCATCTCCAAGATGCACTGCTGCAACTCACCATATTTTGTTTAATACAATCTTTCAAACCTGTGGCATCTACGACGCGGGAGGACAAGGGCAGCAGATACAATTTCATCTCTAAGTTACACATCACCTTGACATTGAACCAGGTTGTTGTTTTTTTCACTGGTGCTGGCTCAAAGTCCTGAAATCCTCTCCCTAAAGACACAGTGGATGTTCCTACACTCCAAGGATTGGAGAGGGTCAAGAAAGCAACTCAGTGTCATCTTATGCAGGTTAATTGGGTAAATGGAATAAATGCTGGCCAAACAAGCAACGCCTGTGAAGGAACATCAAAATCAATCCAAGACAGACTTGTACCAAAATCCTTTCTTATGCTCAATTATTGTTGTGCTTTCATATTTTGAAGGATAGATTATTAACTATTCTAAGCCATTTAAAAGGCACACGTCACTTGCTGTTTCACATTCATACTGAAACTTATGTGTTGTAGTAGGCTCACTCACCATTTTCACTGGGCGTGTATATTGGCTTGTCAGTCTGAATGAATATATAACCCTTTTTTGATGAAAGTAGGATTGGAACCATTCTCCTTTCTGAAAACAGTTGTGGGCATTCAGCAGCAAGAGAAATATATTTGTCAGTACGTCCCATAATGTTAGTCTCCTTGATGAGATCAGCAGAAGCCTGTAGGGTTTGATAACATGGAGATTAGCAGTGCTGTGTCTAGTTATTTTGAATCAAGATTAATTGAGTCATATCAGTGTGAAATTCTTCATTTTGCTATAGATGTAGAAATACAAAATTAGATTTGATTAGAAAGTATGACATTTGAGATTCATGATGATCAGAGAGACTTGCTTGTACTAGTACAAGGACTCAAAGGTAACATGTAGATGCATTAAGCAGTTAAGAAATGGATTCGCATTTTGGGTTTTATTGCAAAGTGATTGGAATACGAGAAGTAAATTTCCAGCTCTAATTATAGGGCTTTGGTTGGAAACCCCTGGAAGACTGTGCAGTTTTTGTCCATATTCAAGGACTGACATACCTACATTGGCAAGCACAGTGAATAAGCATAAGATTGAGTCCTGGGGTGAGAGGGTTGTTTTGTAATGGGTGGGCTGGGTGATTTGGGTGTATACGCTGCAATTTTGACGAATGATAGATGATCTCATTTACAAAATGCAAGCACTTGGAAGAACTTGATAGGCTAGATAGTGAGTGGGTTGCTTCTCCAGACCGGGGAATCTGGAACAGTGTTCTTCAAGAGAGACCAGAGACTGAGTGTCAACAGTGCACCACAAGTTGAACTGGGAAGCAAGAACTCTAATAAGCCTGTAAAGATACTGCCCTATTTTAATAAGTGTTACTTTGTGACTTGTATAGAGCTTCCCGAGTTAATGGATCAAGTTGCTTCCTGTTGCCTGAACGATTAAAGTCTCAAACAAACTACTGCGTTTTGAAATTTTAATTTGTAACATAAATCTCACAAAATTGACAGTAATCTGTGCAATGGATAAGTTTCTGTTGCGTATAAGACCTGCAGGTCATATTGCTTTGTCTTTTCACTTCGGTCCAAGTTGTGTAGTCAGTATTAAAGTGATTGTATTTAAATCTAATCTTGTAGAAGTTGCCCCTACTCTTTTTTTTTAGCAATCTCTCTGGCACAGCTTCCCATTTCCCAATGTCTGTTTCCCAATGTCAGTCTGGTGCCAAGCCTAAGGATTCTCAAGGCATCCATCAGCAGGTATGCCATCCAACATATGAAGCAACCAACCATATCAAAGTATGCTCACAGATAGCAAATCAGAAAAATATTAATTTTTCATTTCAAAAATGGTTTTCCAGCTAACGTTAGTGGAACAGATAGGTTGAATTAAGGTGGGAGTTGAATTAGAATAAACCAATATTTTCCAAGATTTTTAAAATATATGTTTCAATCATAACAGTGGGATTTTGACATTGCACAAACTCATACATCATTTATTTTATTTCTCAGAACCACTGAAGCTGTTTTGTTGTAATTCAAGGCTTAACATACTGTTAGACACAAGGTGTGAATTTTCATTTTTTTTGATTCAAAGGAAGACCAGTGACGTAAAGGGGAAGTTTATTGTCAGCTCATTGTAGTCTACCTGAAGGAAGTTCAAGAGTGCAACATATTAGAAAACACAGAACCCGTGGCAACAACTTCTGAATTTTTGTGTTCAACATGCACGGACTCCAGACATTGCTATCAGTTTCACTGCAGTGATAGGGTCACTAATTTCATCCATTATTAACGTTAGTTTCAAATGGGGATGGTGACTATAATATACCGGTGAGTTCAACAATAGAACAATGACCAAGGATTTCTTTCAAAGGTTAATACCATTTCTAAGAATTGAAACATTCAATTAAAATTAGCCCCTATCATAACTAGGATATGCATCGATATACATTTTTTATGAGCTCATCTATAAATAGCATCAACTAAGTTGCATTTATCATGGCTGCAAGTTTTGTTTTGTATGCACTGCGGTACAGATATAGAGGAACAAATTTCAGATCTGTCAGACCGTAGCTTATGGTGGAAAAATGCAAGGAGCTGGCTGTGAAAAAGTGATGCCACTAGGATAGAAATCTAAAACGCCTAAATTAATGGTCTGTGGACCTGGGTTCAAATTCCATCTCTGTTCCTGCTGGTGGTATTCGCATTTAGTTCATAAAATGTGGAATACTGAACCCCTCAATGGTGACCATGGCAGTTGTCGTTAAAAACCCATTTGCTTGAGTCGTCTCTATTACGGAAGGAAATCTACCATCTGTTCCGGCCATACAACACTGTAATTGTAAATGGCGCAACACGCCACTCAGTTTAAACGATGGGAATGTAACACTGGCCTTGTTAGTGACACCACCATCCCATGAAGGAGTAAAGGAAAAGGCAGAAACCGTTTTCTTTTTTATAGCTTTGAAGAATCGACTGAGTACTTCATTTAATACGCCACTACAAATGTTATCTGCATTTATTATAATGGTTAAGTCAAGAATATATCTTAAGGATCTAGTTTCAACGCTAATATGAAAGGTGTAGCGAGGCCACATTTAATTAATTGCCAGATTTCGGGGGAACTAGTGTCCTGGAACTTTAAGCATAAGCTCAGGGAGGCTTTCACGTTGTACCAAACCCAGACTTATCATTGCAGCTAGAACGTGCACTTCCTCAACAGTTGCACGGAAGTAAATAAATGACAGATGGCCTCGCACCTCGCTGTATGAATCCCGATGGCAGTACTTACCACAATTTGTTTGATTTGACGGTAACCGTTTTCTGCCGTTAGTTCAAAATCAACATCCTTGGAATACGTTCTATAGTTTGCCGCATCGAATAAATAAACCTTGATTTTGACGGGATTTTCTGCTCCCTCCAGCTGAATAGCGACGCTTTCCTTTACCCCGATGTGAATGATGTTGGGAGCACTGATTAAGTAGCTACGATTTTTTAATAAATTATAAAAAGAGAAGTCGAAGAATAAGTTCACCAATATATCAAGTGTTAGCAGTCATTGAGAACCCGCGCCAGCAAGTGGCCGAATGGCCTTGAACGTCCCAGCGCCAGCCCGTGTGAAATTGACACCCATTCCCGTCGCTTGCTCATTTGAAATTGACCACGAAGTGTAAATGTGTGAGTTTCCACCGCACGCTGTGTCCTGTTGCAATCCTCCGCAGATGCAAGCAGCACACATCACTGATTGGATGTAAACATCAACTTTTTATGCTCTAGTGTCACTGCAAAAGTCCCTGGAAATGTTTAGCAAGTATTGGACGAACTTCCTTGAAAAAAAAATGTAAAATTATGATTCAATGAATTCCAATCAAAATTTAATTGTCTTTGATTTCCATTATAACGACATTACTTTAATATTTATTTCCCCTATTTTCCCTTCCTTCTGATTTGGAATCCGCTAAATGCGATCTAGTTCTGTATCGAATATTCTACTTTTCGCCATGATGGGGTTTCCTTACAATATTTCTATGGAAGCCAACCAGGTGGCATTTGGAAGCAGGAGTATCAATCTTCTTGTAGTATTAAATTAAATTAATGCTGGGAATCTTCAGCCTGTCAGACGGTATCCGTGTATAGAGAAGCACAGTTAACAGGACAATGGTTTTGTTTCACCTGAGACATGAGGGCGCATTCGAAAAAAATGTTAAGTTCGGAAATGAATTCTGTTCACGCCAAATGGTGTGTACTGGCCAATTCATCAGCCGATAAATTGCCTGGGATGTTTCGTGCCTTAGGGGCTCTGCTAAATATCAAGCAGAGCAAGGACACTCTATCACCCTAACTCAACGTTGCTGCAAAATATATACATTCAGACTACCAGATCCAAATACTACACTTGTCACATTAAAGTTCCCAAAATTTCGGAAGAAGCTCTACATCAACGATAGCAAACGTCTCACTCTGTTTCACGAGGCGAAATTGTTGACAAAACATACTTTCATTTCTTTTTTCTCGTTGACCACTCCTGTAAAGGAGGTTAAACTTGCCATCCTAAAATCAAAAGTAACCAATGTGCTTGTGTTTCACATCGGCATGGCATAATTTCACTCAGCTTTTTGTCGTTTTCTGAAGGCTGTGACACAGGACAGATTCAGCCCTGCTGGTCGCTACCATGTTTAATCTGCATTCGGGAGGATTGTTTGAGGGCTAAAATGACTTCGCTTGAGATAGCAGACACAAGCATGTACACACATATCGCCACACACACAGAGGCATACATACCTATACACACATGCGTACACACGCACGTACGCACTCTCTCGCACGCACACACATAGACACAGACACAGACACAGACACAGACAGACACACACACACATCGACCCCCCCCCCCCACACACAGACACACACACATTCCGCAAATTCAGACTTCCTCACACGCAAGCACTCACTAGCATATGCGCATATATCTGAACGCACACGTAGCACACACGCGGATACAGACATACAGTCTCACAGGCTGGCACACGAAACGGGCATGCACGTACACAGACCACATGCCTACGGACACACAGCTGCACACAGCATCGTTTCTGCACCCATTTAATTCCCTAGTGCCAATCTCCTGCCATTCCGCCACATCCCTGCTTACCATCTCTAACTAACCATTCAATGCTCATCTTGAATACATCTCAATCGAACCTACCCCCACCACGATCCCAGGCAGTGTATTCCAAACGCTAGCCACTCGCTGTGTGAAAAGATCTATTACCCCCGCCCCCACATCACCTTTTCTTCGTTTGCACATCATTTATACGCTCCCGTTCTTTTTTCTTTTACAAATGGAAACAGCTTCTCCCTACCTACTCTATCCAGTCTTTGAGTCGTATAGCACGGAAACAGACACTTCGGTCCAACCAGTCCATGCTGAACATAATCCCAAACTAAACTAGTCCTACCTGCCTGCTCCTGGCCCATATCCCTCCAAACCCTTCCTATTCATGTATCTATCCAAACCTCTTTTAAACCTTGCAATTGATCCCGCATCCACCACTTTCTCAGGAAGTTCATTCCACACGCAAACCATCCTGAGTTAAAAAAAAGTGACTCTTACGTCCTTTTTAAACTTCTTTCCTCTCACCTTAAAAATGTGCGCCTTGGTCTTGAAACGCCCCATCCTAGAGAAAAGACAACTACCATTAAACCTATCTATACCTCTCATTATTTTTATAAACTTCTATCAGATCGCCTTTCAACCTCCTACGCTCGAGTGGAAAAAGTCCCAAACTATCTAACCTTTCTTTATAAGTCACCGTTCATGATTTTACACAAAACGCACACACATACTCTGAGAGAAGAACACCAACGTAGACACATAGTGGCAATGATACACATAATGTGTGTATCATACTGACATACTGACGCCAGAATACCGACACATAGACACACGCTCACACACACACACACACACAGGCACACAAAGACACAAGCACACACATAGACACATACACACAGATGAATGCACATACACCCGCACACACTGACATAAGAATATCGACCCACATACACTGATACACAATCACATATTCACAGACATAAGCACGCAAAGAAGCGCACTGACACACACACACACACACACACACACACACACACACAAACAAATATACATACACCACACACTCTGACATAAGAATACTGGCACACAGAGACGCAGACACATAAATACATACACACACACACTCAGAAGCACAAGCACAAGCAGATGCAAAGGAGCAAATTGATGCTTTTCTTTTAAAAAATATAGGAGCTGAGTTAGAACATTCTGCCCGTCAGCCGAACATTCAAGAGGGGATCATTGCTGATTTGTTGTGTTTGGAATCCCACATACCCATTTAAAGCAGGATAACTTTTGATTCCCTGCCCAACAAGAATCCATCCACCTCTGTCTTGTAATTATTTAACGTCCCCACGTTCACAGCCTTCTGAGGCAGAACATTCCAAAGTTCCATAATACATCTAACAAAAATAACTGCCCTGACAGGGTGAATCCTAAGGTTTATCCAACTTTCCAGTATAAGCCAACATGTTCGTTTTCAGGTATCAATCGAGTAAACTTCCCACCAACAGCCCCACATCCACTCCTCAATAAGACCAACAGTACAATCCTAGGAAGTCAAATTCCTTAACCACCTGCTAAGCACCTTTCAGATTGACCGGACCGCTCAAATTTCCCTGCAGCAGAAATAAAGTTTATCAGACAAGGAAATAAAAAGTGTTAAACGGAAGAATCCAGAGCCACGGAAATCCTAGCTTATACTGCGGCTAGTTGCGTATGACGGAAGGAATGTGGCAGACTATTTTCACAAAACATCCTACACACACACACACAAAAGCAACGCGAGAGAAGTTTCGTGCGTTTGGGTGCAAGATCAGATTGAGGGCACTCCACCGTCCTTGGAAATATGCACAACCCAACTGAGCGAGGGGGGAGAAAAATGGGACCTCGGTTTAGCGACCTGCCTAAAAGTCCACCAATTCGCCCCATAAAATCTATAATGGCATTTATTCTAGAATCCATTCCGCTGAATTGTCTTCGGTCCTTTTTAAAATGTGCGTAAGGGCACGAACATTTCCCGTTTCACTATTCTTGACATTACACGCTCAGTCATAGCTCCACAGCAGTCGCATTAAAGTCGCTTACGAGGGTTTTTGTTCAGCCACCGATATCAGCGCTGACAACCATAAGAGGAAGAATTCCCGTGCCATTGTTGGAAAGGACGGCCCGCTGCCGGTGGGAAGGGTCAGCGAAATGACAACCTTACTGCGTTGTGTAAAGTTCTATAGATGTGGGACGGTCAGAATATTGACTCAATAGTTAATGATTTACATTGTTGGATATTTCAGTGGACTCGTGGGCGCGATGTGAATTGCTACCCCCAACCAGCCACCCACCAACTACACGCACACATACACACATATACACACCCATACACACATACACACACACATATACACACACACATGCACACATATACACACCCATACACACATACACACACACATACACATA